GATATAATTAACCTTTTACACAAGTAAAATATAATCTGCTTAGTAATGAATCAGACGTGGGGTAAGGTCCATGGGTGACTACTTTATTTTATGGTTCAGTCCAGTCGACGTCGTCGACAGCAGCATCAACGATAGCATTGTCAACAGCGGTTAGGCTTGTGTGTCTCCATAAACAGCGGAGAACGCTCTATAGGATATGGCATAATATAATGAAGCTCGTTTATCATGCCTGGAGCTGTGTGAAGGCGCAGTGGTCTATGACGACCTAAGTTTGTTTCTCAAATCCATGGCGTTCTGGATGAATAGCTAGCTCCGACAGCAGACCTTAGAATGTGCTAAGCTGGTGGAAAAATGAGCCAAACCAACTTCGGTAATCTCGTCTTTTCCTTGCGCTTACAATAGCCGTGCGCGCTGGACAGTGGTCGGCAGTTTTCCTGCTCGCAGCACCGATATGAATATTTTCCTAGCGTATTCTTTTCACTTTTCTATCTGGCGCAATATCTTTCGCCTCTATTTGCCTATGTTTGTAGGTGGCTCACAGATTCACCCTATGCTACATAACTATTGTGGGCATAGTCGTCTTATTTTTGTTGGTCGGGTAAGAACGATGGCGACGACGGAATAAAAGCGATAACAGTGGTATCGAGGAAACCTGGCGATTCTTTCGTCGGCTGATAAGCAGAATAAAGGTGATACAATGCACGCTATGTAGAAGCTCTGTAGCCCAGAGGGCAACGTCCGAAGCAAACAAGGTTACAGTTAAGGGCAAATGTATGCGTAAAAGGCTAAGTCGGTAGATCTGCTTTTAGGTCGCTATGTGTAGAGTGTATTACTTGTAACGAACGTGGAGCTTGCTGTCGTTACTACTGCCTTATATATGTATGTATGTATATATATATATGTGTGTGTGTGTGCCTGCGTGACCAGGCGCGGTGCACGGATAGTGTCAGCAATAGCATGCAGTAGTCAATAATAGGCATTGTTAGGGGTTATTGTCCACGTGACACGCTCGAATAGGCGGTATTTTGATCATTCGTTCCTTCTATTGGCGTCTTTCACATGAGTTTCCACACCTCTGCTCAGTCCGCTCCCCTTAGCTACAAAAGGTTGCCATCCTATCCAACAGCGTTTACTACCAGCCTACAGGCCGTTGCTGCTACTGATGTGGGCAACCCGACCCGAGTCGAACTAGTCTATCTTTAAGAGCGAATAGAACTAGCTCCGGTTGTTCATGACGACTAAATCGAGTTCGCTGCTGGACGCAGGACGGACGCTTGAACGAGAACCCTACATTTTTACGATGCGAGAGAGAAATCAATACACATTCGTGCGCACGAATAATAAAATGGCCGTACACCACCCATCGCTGCCACAATTAGAACGGGCTAAGCGAAACGCTAATTAAAGCCTCTTCACGCGCTCGACTCAGGACGCCGACGAAACGCGAACTCCACCCGGCCCCGCGGGACTCTTACGCCTTCTAGCAATCGATCGAGCGCGTATCTTTCTGGACAACGTGACGTAACCACGAATGGAGTGAGGCAGAACGTTTTGGAGTTATAGCTAGTATTACTGCTATTGACTCGCTTATTTTGCGTGTGACGGCATACATTTTGTGAAACGGCTTTGCAAAAGTATGCCGAAAAAACGAAATTTAGAAGGTGTAGCCTTTTCATCCGCTCACACAGGACACCAAGCACCGAAAAAATTTATATAGAAACGAAAGGGAAAGTGAACACTGCGAACGACATCGGACGACTGATCGATACGGTATCATGACGTGCATAAACGAAACACGTGAGATTACATTTATAATTATAGTTTATTTATTCCAACAACAGTCAGGATCCTGCTAAGTGAATATTGGCGTAAACATGCGACGATACTGAATAGTTCAGTGAACAGATGCTATGCCCAAACATCAAAAATTACTACAACAGACTGCGTCCATGGGAAAGATCATCAGACGGGCCAACGGAAATATACTAAATCGGGTTTTAATCCTCGGCCTCTGCGGGAACCGTTGGTGCGTACGAAACTTCAATAATGATTCAATGGCCCTCTTTTCTAGGGGGTCATTTTTTCTAAAGTTTGCAGCTACGGCTGCCTTTAGACTGCTTTTGGCCGCCTGCAATACACCATGTGTCTTGCAGCGGCATAGACAGCACTCATAGCGAATAAGGAATCAGCCGGCAGATGAAAATAGAAAGTAAAAGCTTTAATTGGCCTGATTATAGAAGAAGGAAAAGGAAGCAATTTACGGAGACGTTAAGCGATTTTGTTCACCGTACAACAAGCTGGAGCCTTAATCAATAGCAGATAGGCTAAAATGCGATATCTTCACACGCATCACCTAAGCATTCAAAACTGAACGAAACCTGAAACACATTTCCTAGGTGTCCGCAACCAAGTTGAAATAATAAACTTACGTACATACAAAAAGAACTATAATTATACTGGTGTCATAATCTTAAATCTAACATAATAACATTCTTTCAATATAAAGTATTCGAAAATATAGTATCTAGGTACAATGTGTGTTCCTGAAATTAGCTAGGGCCGTATTCGGTATGCGCTTGTCTCGCAAATCGACTCGTGACTAATATAACCTAAATTGGATCCAGTTTCATCAAAATCACTGAGGCCTTGCTTCTGAATTAAAAATGCCCATATTGATATTAGAAATATAGAAGGAAAAGCCGTCCGATGACCGACTACGGGAACTAAATTTGTGACAACGGTGAGCTGTTCCATGCCGTGCTTACCCAATATGCATCTGCTGGAAGGGAATTCATTGATCCCAATAACCACTTTCGGCAGTTTTTAGCATGACGTTCTATGCAGACTCCAGAAATATAGACAACGGTTGCGTGTGTTAATGATCGATACATTTTCCAATCTAATGACCATAGACAGTTACCTTCGGTAGTACAGTAACTGTGTCTTTGCAGTACCGACGGCAGAAGGACTGGCATGCGCTTGTCACGATTTCTATTCATTCGTCCATGACCTTTCGTCAGTAAACTGTGAAGCTCGAAATGCGTTAGGCCTCTTTCTAAGCATGGTAATGGATTTTCAAACCGTTTTGTCCGTCTTGACACTTCTGCGTAGATAATTCTTTCACACACATATTTCTTGTTGTCAAGGTTTTGTATCGACTAACGCGTTTGTGTAGATAGACATAGCACTGGTTTTCAGCATTGGCTATTACGGGTCAATATGACTCACGATAAATGGCCAGTTGTATCCGCTTTTAGAATTTTCATGCCGAGAGCACCGCCCATATCATTGGCATCACAGGTAGTAGCAAAGATTCCAGATGCGTTTTGAGCGGGGCTGCCAATGGTAAAAGAAACTCTGCCTCGTATTTCTTTCTTCTTCCCTAAGCTGCATATAAATAACTTTTTCATTTGCCGAAAGTCCATTAGCGTTGGTTGTCTTCGTTCTCCAACGTTACCAGCAATCGGTTGACATCTTGACAAGCACTTCGACCAGCGATTCTTGAGCGATCGCAACAAAAGAGGATCTGAATCGACGACAAACTCTTTGATATTAAAATACCTTACGAAAGGACATGACGCATTATGTTCTTTCCTTCATGTACAATGTGCAATGACCTGACGCCAAAGAATCGTTACTATAGTTCGAGTATAAGAAATCCTTTGCCCCTTTAATCTGAGAGCTCTGTAGAGGTGGGAAGACGTTAACCCTATGACCGTTTCGTAGAATTCGCTACAACCCAAGTCGGATTCCTATTTGGGGTTTCGATTTCGTTTATGCAGCACAAGAAGTGTTATGATGCCCCGCGTGGACCCTAGGACGATCGTTTCGAAAGCAGAAAGACTGCCTACAAATTAGCAGCAGATGCCGCATTTACTATACTGATTAAAAGAACAAGCAATCTGAATTACAGTTTGTACTCTGGCTTCGATACAGTGAGATATACACTGTGTTGTACAACATCACGAACGTTCTAAAAGCCTTTCGATACATGGATGTTAATGAGAGGAAATAATCAGGCCTGTATTAGATCCTTTGAAGGCAGTATAGGCTTGGGGCCTGTGGAGAAAGACCGCATAAGTCATAACTTTATATTACTTTGTACGTCTGCTGTCAGACATTGTTATTATTACGATTGTTTATGCCACTACCATTAAGAAGCGTTTGTCATTTTCCGCAGACATATTTGATTCAAGTTCAGCAATGCTTTAGCATATATGATACATCGTGCTGCGACCACTTCCCGCCGGCAGCTCACTATTCAATAATGTAAATTGAAGTGAACGGAAAAAGTGGAAGCTTATTTTAGGTTTCGACTGTATCTCTATGTAGTAAACAGGCTTTTCCAGGGCTCCGAAGTATGGTTCCATTTTACTATTATAGTCACCTCAATTGCAGGTATCGTTATCATCATAAGCTCGAGGCCGAAGGGACGAAGTTTTTCCCGTTGTGTTACTGCAAGCTTTCAAAGTTGATTACTTGTTTCATGTTTGGTCGCAACGAGTCTGCCTGCACTAACCGGCTAGGAAAAAGGCCTTGGACACACTTGCCTTTTCTAACTTGTAGGCTCACTATTGTAAGCTACACAACGACACTAAAATTTGACGTTTGACAAGAGAAGGCGGCTGTACGTCATTTTCACCCAAAAAGCTTCTAGAACGCACGCGCGAAAAAAAGGTCTACGTCCAACAAACAGCATGACTTCAACAAATCCGCCCAAAGACAACGCACTCGAAGAGATGCCTACTGATCACCCACACCATGCTGTTTCATGATCTGATAATGATAACGATACACATTTGGCTCAGTATTGAATAGTATTGCGTTTTCTGTGACGTTGTTGACAGATTTAGCAGAAACTGAAACACCTCGAAAGCGAAAGTTACCTATATCCTACCACTATACTACTGCACCCTCTCTGAGCAAAAATTATTTATCACTTTTTGCTTATTACTGACTACCGTTACCGCACACGATTGCCAAACAGAGAGTGAACTTACCCTGGGTAAGAACGCTTTGAGATCTTTTAACGAAACAGTTTCGCGCGAATTTGTCATCGTATAGAATTCTTTCCTTAGCCAACGTTCGACTTGAAGCGGATAAGGTGCTCCCACCGTGTCCTCGACGAGATATCGCAGACCGCGGACCCATAACTCACAGTCCGCCACGGAAGTGGCTGTGTTAGATGTCCGTAAATGTACCCCGAATGGTAAGCAAACAACAGCGTCCAGAAAATCGATTCCAGGAACGATAGCAGCAGCGCAGTAGACATATCGAATCCCACCGAGAAGAAAGTAATGTTATCAGTTATTATTGTTATAAATTATTTGACTATGGTGCAATATAAAACGAATAACTCTAACTTCGAACCCGTAACCGCCGTTTTAGCTTAGGGCGAATGTAACAAGCTGTGCTTTGCTTAATTCCTCAGTTTGATCGTTCAATGAATGTTTAATCTTGGTTTCATTTTCCTCAAAACCTTTAAAATAACGTATTGACACAGACAATATGAAAAAAGAAAAGCTAACCACTTATTTGCAGACGTCACTAATCGATCAAGTAGATCAATATAGAAATAGCTCACATGCTTCAGAAGAAGATCGCACACCTCGGAATACTGTTCATAAGGCGTCAAGAAACTTTGTGGCTTCTAAATGTAACAAGTGATACGTTATAGGACGTCTAAAGTTGAAAAAAAAACCAAAAAAAAAATTACCTAACTGAGAAGTTTATTTATGCACTAATTGCAGGTGTAAATAAAAAACAATTTCGCGGGCGCATAGTAACTAAAGCACACTTAAACCTAGAAAGAAGAGGAAATCAACCAGCAAATTAGAACAGAAACACATTTAACTAAATAAGTCACCAATTCGTTTAAGCGGCTTTCGAGCTTCTCGATCCAAGTATACTTCAAGTAATTAGGTTTTCTACAGTAAACGCCAAATTCATAGTTGGCAAAAGTTGCGTTGTTAAAAATGAATTAGTAGTTACCTGTTACCACACAGCTTAGAAGTTATAGGTGAAATGTCTCTGTGATACAACTCCAATCACATAAATGTTGTTTTCGAATTTAAAGAATACAATATCGGTAGATGAAGGCACAGTTCTGAATGTAAGTACTAGTTTTGGCAAAAAAAAAAAAAAAAAAAATAGAAGTTAATTCTAGAAGAAGTTCGTATTGGATTTTTCTTCGTCGAGCGTCATTCGATCTAACATCTATCCCGTCCGTTTCTTTTTTCACTGCCAAAAGTGACGCTTGTTTATGCTCGAGCAAATAGATATTTCCATCGGGATTGCTTTGGGCCAGCATATAATAATGGTTTTATCGGACGATACTGCCACCGCTTAAACCGTTGACGATTGGGTTATAATTTTTTATCATATTTCGTTTATTGCCAAGAATCTTCGGAACGTCTTAATATGTAAGATAATTTCTTTTTTAAATTATATACGAATTGTCATTATCCATTATTGGTTTAAAAATTAACAGAAGGTTGTAGAATATTTAAGCCGAACCGTACTAATAGACCACGTGATAGTATATCGTATCTTCTGAGATTGCATATTATATTAAAAGCAGTTTCCGCAAACAAAAAAAGCTTGAAGTTTATGACTTCATCATAAGCTCACCTGTGGGGTCTGTTTTACCTGGTTTAAGTTTATTTTCCATCGATAGGTGGCCATTTTGCTCAATTGCATCTTGAAAATAGATGAATCGTAAACGACTTAAAAATGCGCTATAGGTCTAGCGGAACCGATATCCGCGCTGTCGGCATAGATGCACGCCATCTTCTCGGCACTTACCATACTTCAACATATGTAAGTGTGATATTTCGAGCAGTTACTTCATAAGACCTTCAATCATCATTTTGGTCGCCGATTCTTCTTCGACGTACTTCGTAAAAAGTTTTATTTAGGGTCGAATAGTGCCATCGCGGAGTCAGCCACGTGCGGTTTGTTTACTGGGCAGCAAACGATTGAATCAATACAATAACTTGCAATAGGTGTTATCTGGGAGATTATTAACCGTACCCGTAACTGTTTGGAAGCGTTCAGGTTGGCGATGTCTATTATGTACAATACTTAAACAATCTATAATCAGTTAGGTATCAACGTTCCGGTCGACTAGAAATAGTCATGTAGTCATCTGAGTTATATAAACACCAATGGATTCAGTAAAATTTATAAACGAAAATTAGTCATACAAACATGCCGAACAATATGATACCGAACGGAAAGCATCTAGATAGAAACACTTATGTAGGGAATGGGCCTAGATAAATTTTGTTGGATTTTTTGTTATATAATACACCTGGTTCTTCGATAACCTATGAAATTATTTTTTGGCAAAGTTCGTAATATAGCCATTTTGAGTGTACGTAAGGAATACGATTTCTACGAAAGGGGGCCTGCCAATGCCATAAACCGTCCCAAAGGGCTCAAGTTCTCATTTTATCCGAGCGTAACCCGTTTGAAAATGCATAGCTTGAAAGTTTTGTCCCAGACAGTTTCCCAAACCACATTGGGCATTGAAAAGCATTGGAGAAAACGTGTTTAGCTTAGCAATTGGATTTTTCGGCATTTTTGTGCACACACGCCACGTATGACCATTACCATATGACCGTTGTCCGAATTCGGGAAAGTGTGAGCCTATAGAACGGAATCGCTTGCTTTCATCATATTAGAAACCATAGCAAATAAGAAGCTGAGTATCTGTTGGTGGATTTTCATGCGAGCAAAAACAAAAAGCCTGATATCTGCCGGCCTCAGCGAAAAAAATCAAGATACTGAATCTTATTCATATAGTTATACCATAAAGTAAACCAATTTACCTTAATATGATAAGAAAAAGTCGACTGTATTTTCTACGAACTTAGATACCTTTTTTGTAAGCCATGTAAGCTTATTTAAATTCTGCTATCGCAGTATGTTCGTGTGGCTTTAAAGCTGACGAGGTGACGACAACAACAACACGCCAAGGACGAGCACCAAGGCCAATTCTACAACTTAGAAATCAACAAAAATACAGCGAAAAATGTCAAAATAGCTTCGACAAGCCATATAGATTTTTTTTTAAATAGCTACAAAATATGAACCACTCATAACTAAGCTCAGTCGCTATGTCACTGCAGCCACAGCTGCTTTACTAAGGATGCAAATCATCTCCGTGATACAGCAGTGATGACCTTTATTGTACGATAGTTCCAAATGGATCTACAACGGAACACCGTAGGCCCAATGTCGTAACAATATGCCAATGCGTTGCAAAATAGGCCAAGATTTACTACCAAACGAAAAAAATCACAGCCTGAGCTGTCTCCTGGTGCCGGAAAAGCGACGCTTTTCGGTACGTACTCAATGATACCATCAATAGCGTAGGAGCACTTGAAAAATATATACAGTACTGCATGGTCGTTGATCCATAAAAGAATACGTTCAGTTTATAACAACGACTACTTACAGTCTTTCGCCTACTGTTTACTTATTATGAATAATTTTGTCGATTTTACGCATTTCATTAGCCATAAGTTCGTTTAAGTTGCTTCCTAACAGGCTGTCTTTCCCTAACCCTCTAACTTTGTCTGTATACCATCCTTCCGGACAAGCTACAGCAGGAATGCAACTGGATTTATAATACACGTTTGTATAAATTTCGCTTAGGTTTTTGATAACGATGAGTATGCACAACTTGCCGTTATAAAAAAGTTCTCGATTGACCCGCAGTTTAACTACGTCCAACAAAACAATCCTTTCAGCTTTACTTGTTTGTCCATATAAGCATCGTCCTGTCCTGTAGGCCTTGAATGAGTTTCCTTTCAACGAGGCAGTCAGCCCAGTCAAACATAGCAGACGACCTTTAGACTACGATGTGTATACAACCAACAACAGCTGCCCATTACACCAGCTAAAAGCAAAATTGTCTTCCTAAAAAAACACGAACGAGGCCACTAAACTCTTGCGGCAATCTACTTACCACAACGGACACACAAGGCGGCGTTTCCGCGCCAGCGCACAGGAGTAGTATATTTCTAACTTTTCGTATTCATCAGATTATCTTTGTGAACTACACATTATCTAGGAGGCGAAAAGTAACAGTGTGACTGTACAATAAAAAAAAAGCGCATCAAGATCGATGCTAGTAGGCTTAGACAGAAAATCTTCCTGTCTCTTTTATCCTAGTAGAATGAGCACTTGGATGCGGTCCCGATAGCTTACGAAATAACGTGTTGTGGACTTCAAACCTAAAACGTTATAAGACCCTGGATGCCTAATATAAGATACACCACTCTATATAAATAACAGCTATATATTTAATTTCTACTAATATATATAATGAAATATAAAAAGCGAACAGTGATGGTTCTGGCACACGCAAGCGCGATTGCCTGCATCGGCTAAGGATTGCCGTTTCTTCAGCAAATTATTATCTTATTAGATTTCTGTCATGAGACCTTCAGCTTCAGCCGGAGTCGTGGAAGCAAGCATTCATCCGAGTAAAGTAAACCTTCGGAACAAGTTGGGGCAAGTTCAAACCAATAAGCCCCTGGAAAGTCACATGGTCCGGAAGGCAAACAAAGTACACTCCGTCTTACTAATAAATAAATAAGGGCCACTTATTTTGTTCCATCCGAGCGTGCCACGAAATACTATAGGAGCCAATCACTCGTAAGGTTTTCTGCGCAACGTCTCGCAGTCATCTCCTTTCTAGCGTAACTATGCGCGTTTTGACCATAGACTCCGTCTGTCCTTATTCTGTATAAAGCATAGGCGTACACTATGGCGCTCATGCACGTTGTCCACCGCAAACATGCACACAATTGCACGAGGGCTCAATAAACGTGTGTACGAGTGCGTAGAAAACAAGTTGAGAAAGCTCTCGAGATGCTATATTTTTGCTAGCATTATAAAGAGTTAGAACAGTAGTGGAAGGCTTGGCTTCGTAACGAGCAGACGACTCACCTCAAAATGATTTGCAAAGTTTTCCATAATAGAAAAACGGCGATTTAACTTTTATTGTCTTCCAGTAATTTTGATCTCGGTGTCTCGTCACAGATCATATGAACGAACGAAGTGCCAGTGAAAAAACAAAACAATTTCCTGCCACGGCGGCTAGATTACATGTGCATCGTGCTACAGGCAAATGCTAACCACGTTCCTCTTCGAACACCAGTAAAT